TTTTTAAGTTTTGAATGTTTGGGCATTTGCGAAGCATAGAAATTATTTGGAATTTTGTTAACTTGCCGACAAATGATCGGGTTCGTCGTTGGCTTTATATCTTTATTAGTGAATTTTTCTTATTATAGACCTTGAAGATCTAATATGAACATATAAACAAATGTCTCGGTTGGCATCGCGATCGTACATTTGCTTGATAGCTCGAGCCGTGTCGACTCCTATATTCTCGCGTAGAAGGATTGAGCAAGAACTTGGAGTTCATTATTTGACCCACCCAACATCTTTAGATGTTACGTGTATACCCATAATACACTTGTCGGGGCCCATAAGGGTATTTAGGGGGCATTTTGTAATTACTTATTGAACCTTGTTGACTCTATCTAATTGCTGACAAAGGATTGGGTTCGTTGCCGGCTGTATGCTTTTATTAATTGATTTTCATTGTTTATAGGCCTCAGGGTCTAATATGAGCATATTAAAACAGGTATGTTAGTCGATATCGTGATCGTATATTTGTTTGATTGTTCGAGCTGTGTTAACTCCTATCCACTTGCTTAAGAGGATCATGTTTGAACTTAAATTTATTTCTTGACTCGCACGTCCTCTGACAATCACATGTGTAAATACAATACTCTCGCTGGGGCCTATGCAGATGTTTAAAGGGCATTTTTGTATTTATATTTATACATGTTGTGATGCATGTGTGGGGGCATTTTAAAATGTTTAATGTTGATCAGTTGTGCGGGCAACTATCATTTGAATGTGTGCGACACGCCATTTGAAAGTTCGTAGACACCTTCTGTCCGCTTGAATGGGTGCTGCAGATCTGGTGGCGTAGTGTCGTTGTGCGCTGGGTCTCATTTGAGAATTTTTAAACGCCTTCTATTCGCTTGCATGGATATTGCAGATCCAGTGGCGCAACGTCGTTGTGCGCTGGGTCTCATTTGGGAATTTGTAAACGCATTCTATCAGCTTACATGGATGTTGCAGATCCGGTGGTGCGGCATTGTGGGTTGAGTTTCATTTGCTGCTTTAAGCAGGTAGATTGTTGCGCACTAACGAACATTCTACGCTGCTACAAATACTAGCACCTGCTGGAGGTTTTTCATATTTACTTGTGCATGACATGTAGTATGTATAGCTAGTCTCCTACGGCAGCCCGTAGGTGCTTGCATTTGTTGCACGTCGTATGTCTTTACTTGAGAGCGGCGTATTTTCTTGATGTATTAGCCATCGTCATTTGCAAGAATCTGATATGTTCTTGTTTGCAAATTAATTGGAGTCGATGACAAATAAATTAACCTCTTTGTAAGTTCCTTGTTTTGCTTACGTGGATGTCGACATTGTGTATGAATATCAACTGTTAGTTGAGTTGCATTCACTATTAACTTCCCCACATAATTCATCAGCAATTTACTATGCCCACTATATGTTGACTTTTAGTATTCGTGGGTAGTTTATCGCGCTTGCGACAAATTTTCCATCACTTCTAGTGGGTATTTGCATTCACTATGATCTTCTATCCTTACTTGCATGTAGATCAATGTGCTTGTTTGTATCTTGATGTTGACTGCCGGCTAAGCTATATTTATCAACAATCTTTTTATAATCATCCAGACCCTGCTTAAACCCTACAGGACATTTCCCCTTTGTGGTGTTTGCAAGTGGATGTAGTAGGGATTACTGTATATTCTTACATGACTGCTATGAAGACTATCATCAACTTCAATTTTATTGTTTGAATGCATTCACTGTACATCAGTCCTACGTCATAGAAGTCTGGTGTATTCACTTGTATGTTGACCTTCACTGCTTGCGGGGCATGATATGCTTGGTCATATGTTAATGCAAGTTGTTTCGTCTGTTATACATCTTGTACATTCTATTCTTGAAAAGAATCGTGACATGCATTGCACTCATCTTGCCTCCAGTTGTTGTCTGCAAGCAGTTCACCATACTTCATACAATCTTTGTCGATTATTACTTGTAGATGAGCCATACCAACTGTTATAAGTCCTTCGCTGTCATGTGAAGATGACTTGTGTCTTACATAGTTAGTTTGCTTATTTATATTTGCATTCCAATTGAAGTGATAGTCCCTTGATATTCCATTGAAAATTTTGTGTTGTTAATTTTAAGCATGTCATTACATTCCCCAGTTGATCGTTGCTTGTATGATTAATTTTGTTATTTCGCCAAATTACAAGTTCCATTTTAGATATTTAATTACATTCCCTGATGTTTAATTAGGTCCAAGCTCATGTCTCATATCATTCAATTTGCTAGTTCAAGTCCTCTGTCAATCATTTAAATCTGGTCCCCTATCATTATAAAATTCGGCAGCCTTCCGGTGTCTCCCTCGCTTAGGAGAAATTCCAAGAGTCATAGTTTACCCGTCATGTTAAGAAAGACGTGCATGGTCGGTGTTAGATGACACCATGGCCGTAATCTTCAATCTCACCATGCTAGAAAAGACGTGCATCAGTCTTCGAGGGTACCTGATTGAAGACTCGCAATTCTTTTCCCGTGGCACTGAGGCGCGTACGAGTACTTAAATTTTGCTCTGCCGTGCTAAGAAAAGCGCACACGAGGATTACCTGCCTCGTTGCAAGCACCGCGATGCGCTTCCTCCTACCGTGTTAAGAAAGGCGTGTATGGGTGGTTGCTCACAACGCTTCAAACTTTGAGAGTAGGATTTTTGGGTTTAGAACTTTTTACCTTGGTGGGGGACGTTGGCAGTGTCGGCACGTAGGTCAAGGCAAATAAATTTCTCTTATTTATATTTCTTTTTTTTTTAAATTTCCACTCTCTTTTTGTTTAACTTCAACTGACGATAATGATAATATTAAAAGCCATTGTTATCATTATTATTATCATTGTTGTAGTTAATGATAATAATAATAATCAATAATAATAATTTCCATTATTAGTAAAATTAATTAACACTAATCAACTAATATTGCAATAAGAGAAGTCATACAAAATTTATGGAGATATACCTAATATTTTGGGTGACTCAAACGTGAGAGAATTGTGAGTTTGTGGGTTATTTTTAAGTGGCTGGTTTAAATTAGTTTGGGCCAATGTTGAAGTTTGTAGGGTAGATTTGGGTTGGATGAAATGGTTGGGGCTGATTTTTAAGGTGGAATAGGGTGCTGTTTTGTTTGCTATTGAGTGGAGAGGGGGATGTAGGCTTTCAAGTGGTGGGCTTTTGAAATGATTGAGTAGGCTTGAATAGTAAGGAGGTGAGTGGGGTTGTATGAAAGCTATTGTAGTAAAGTGAAAAAAGGAAAATAAAAGGTAGTCACTTGCTGGCACTGAAGAATCTTTCTTGCTGTTCAAAACAAAGGACTTCCATGGGACTTCCACGACAATAAATAGGAAAAAGCTTGGTGTGGAGGGAAGATCTGTTCAGGCTAATAGAGAGGCTCATGAGTGAGGTTGTATGCGGCACCTACTACAATAGCTTGGCAAAATTGGCAGACTGTTTGAATATGTGGCTCTGTTTTCAGCTAGCGAGTGGCGGCGGTTCAGGCATGGTGGAGTTCGACGGGTGCTAGGAGGGCTTGGGGATGGAGGTCTGGTTGTTGGAGTTCGGCAAGAGGGGAAAAGAGGGCTTGGAGGTGTTGGCTTGGCTGTGCGTCGGGTCTGGTAGTGAAGAGCGACGAACAGAGGAGGTGGGGTTGATGGGATCTAAGTGGATCTAGCATGGGTTTGGTCGTAAGGTTGGAGCTACAACGATATCATCCAAGTTGACTGCGAGGGGTCTCCTCTTAGGTGAACTCGATGTCCTGATTGCCACGGCGCAATCGGTTTGACCCTTCAAGTGACACGTTTCGTCAATGCGCGTATTGCTTAAATCACCGATTTTGCCGCGTGGTTTGATGTGTAGGGTTCAACACATGTGGTTTCCATATAATGTATTGAGTGTTAGTTTCTAATTTTCTGTACCAAGTGTCACCTTTTGATTTGAATTCAAATGTACTAAATTAGGGTGCATAAAATTAGGAGGTGACACTTGGTGCTTTATATGGCAACCAGGTGGCACAATTTTGAAGTTGAATTCAAATACATATTTGTATGTGTGTGTTATATTTATAATACATCCTAGATTATATATGTTTTTTTAGAAAATATTAATAACATATATGCACTCCTAATAATAATAATTAGTAATTAAAAAAATATTTTAAATTAATTATTTTGTCTCTACAACTTGAAACTTAAACCTATCAACCAAGTCAAACTTTAATCGAGCCAACATTGAAATATCTGATTTTTTGTTAAGGGCTAACTCACTCAAAATGGGTTCAATATCATTCTTACTAGGAAAAAAATGCAAGGTAAAAGGGTAATTATACCCTTTCCTATATAATTTTCCCACTCTTACACCTGATTTTTAATCACTTCCCTGATTTCTGTGGGTATGCGTTGGGGGGGGGGGGGGGTGTGTGGGGGGGGGGGGGCGGCGGGGGGACCTTAGGTATTTTATTTCTTTTGAGTTTCATGTAGAATACCAAAATAAATATAATTGCATGCGCAATGCATCAATCTTTCACCAATCCAGGGTGTAGGGAATGGTTGATGTACACAAGCTCAACGTTATTTTGTGGAGAAGCTGTTTCAATGGCTCAACTTGTTCCTACCATAATGGAGATAATCTAACCACAGCTCGAAGCACTCAAACTTGCAATTATAGATATGCTAAGTATTCTCTACAAACCCCAATATTCATTATTTTCTTTTGTATATCTCACTATATTGTACTTTTTTTTCTTATCAAAATTGAGATTATTATTCTAGAAACTGCATATAATCGAAATTGATTTTTTTTTCTCATCAAGGTCATTTCTATTGATGTAACAAGATTATGATTTTTCTTTTCTTCTGGCAGTAGTCGTTAGGCTTGTGAAAATATTGCTTTTGTAGTAATACTCCTGTTCATGCTTTTAGTTTTCCAACGATGTAGCCTAAATTGTGTTATTTAATCTCTTTTGCAGGAGCATCTGGCAAGAGATGATTTATCTTTTATTTTCTGCCTTAAGGTCTGTGAGTTATTTCTTAGCTTTATTCTTTGTTGTATATCCTCACGTAAGCACATGAAGTTTCAGGTTTCAATTAACATTCCAATCCCGACAGTTGTTTCAATTTGGGATGTAACCTTTGGAAAACGAAGCCTTACCAATTTGGTGGAACCAGATATTGACATTATCACATATAATATTTTCATTGCCATAACTAGTGCATAATTGAGCTGGAAATGCTCCCAATTAATTTTTCATGCATGAATTCACTTTACTTCAGGCTTTCCTTTGTACCTTTTACCTAGCATCATTGAATGTGTTTATGTAGCTAAGAATTTCTATATCATGCATTTCTGTTGGACACTTATTCCAAAATACCATAAAACTTACTCTTTTCTGGAAATATACAGTTCTTTTGCACCTTTTGAACATTAGATTATTTATTACTGGTTTAGATCCTTGGTCTCTTCTCGTCACATTAAGCATCATCTTCATTTTGTTTTAATTTTTCCGTTGTTTGGCTTATGCTTATTTTATTTGGAGAACTTCCAGCACCTTCTTCAGAGAACCATGTAAAAGAATTGTGCACGTTTCCATCAGAGGCACTTCACTTTTTTGTTTATTATATAAAACTTAATAATTATTCTTTGTTGTGATCGGGATGCTAACATCTCAAACCAAAAAACTTATATAAAGCCATATAATATCAAAATTTCTATCAAATGATACATATGCACTAAGCATTCTTTTTCTATCATTCTTCTTTTTAATGTGATTTTTTCTTGTGCCTAGCCGTGATTGTACTACGATATGAAGTTCTGGTTTAGGAATTTTCCTTGTTTAATAAATGATTATTTACACATTAATTTCTCATGCATCTATGGTTATACCATTTTTCTTATACCTTTTAAACCATGAATGCCTTGATCTCCTGGTATCATTTTCCACTCGTCACAAACTACTAAGTAATTTCTATTAATTTTGTTTACTGCTCATTGGACTAAGGATAAGCTTATTTATTAATATTATTTTCTTTCCAGGGGATCTTTTGCAATGTTTTTATCTCACCATACTATAATCCAACTTAAAGTTTTGGTATTCTTAACTCTGTCGAGTTAACTGACTTGCTCTAAGGCGTAATCCATTCTTCTTTTTTAATTGCGGATAAAATCTTGAAATTTGAGTGTTTATGAAGTTTGTTTCAGGATAAACACCTGTTGCCAGAATTCTGACTACTGGTGCTTTCATCACTGATATTAACATCAATAAATTGATCATTAAGAAGTCTTTGCGTTTGTTAGATGTTTCTGTGGTAATCAGGATATGCTTATTATGGTACATCTTTACTAAATATTTTTCATGTTTAACCAGGTTTCAGATAATTCAACATTATATGGTGTATGCCTACATGTTCAAGAGATAGTTCAGAGGGCCCCAGGTATTTTAGGTGCTGTCTCACCAGTTATCGCTTCTTACAAGCCAAGCCGCTTTTTGGTAGCTGCACCACGTTGTTATTGCATACTTACGCGAGTTCCATTTTTTGAACTGCACTATGAGATGTTAAACAGGTTTGCTTCTTTTGTCGTTAAACACTTGTTTCTTCTTCTTTTTTTTTTTAAATAAATAAATGTTGTAATGTGTTAGTTCTGACAGAGTTTTAACATGTTCCATTTCAATGCTTATAATTTGTGACCTTATATTGATAGCAGGTTTCTGTTATGTGCAGCATAGTTTCACAAGAGCGCTTGGACAGGATAACTCAATATGTCAGCGACATGAATCTTATTGAACCTGTTCCTCCAGTAATTGCAGAGCATGAAAGTGTTGATGAGGATTGTGATTACCTTGGCAGGGAATCCTTGAACGGTTTGACGGGATTTGCAATACCAGTTGACAGTGTAGCAGGGCTTACCTCATCTTCAGCTTCTATAATATCTGAGAGGGAGGCTGCACCAATGTTATTCTGTCAATCAGGTTTCCATTCTCCAGCAAGTGCTTCCTTTAGTGAAGTTTCGGACACAAGTCATGCAAGGGAGTTGGATAAGGAGTCCAGAAGGTCTTGGCAATGTTTGGATGACTTGACCTCAGAAAATTCTGGATATCGTTCTGACAGTTTTGAAATAGTGAATGGAGCTTTCGAAAATGGACAAGCTTCACCAGAGGCGAATTCAACAATTTATCATTCTATCAGATGCCAATTAGAACGTGTACAAAGTTTGGAGTCCATCTACAGGTGATATATTTTGTACTAGTGATGCTAAATTATGTCACACCCCATTTTAACCCCTACAATAGTCTAGAGTGTAACAGAGAAGGAGAATTTAAATAGACCGTCTCCTTACCCCATTCTGAAATGCTGATAATAGAATTGGATAAGTAAAAAGTAGTCAAAACTATCCTAATCTCACTAATCATAACACTTCAAAATGTTCATAATAGGAAGCATAAATATTATATCTTAACAGAAATGTACATTTCAAATGAAATATAGAGCTTTACTAAAAACCTTTAAAATTTTCTTACATACCCAAAAGTCTGCATAGTTATCATTCAGATCTTCTTTTAGATTTCTTTGTACACCCAAAACATATGTACACCCAAAAAGAATAGTCACCCTTTTAATGCCTTACAGACTCCTTTCACTTACCTTCTATGATGCACCGACACGGACACGTCGACATAGACACGACACGGACACGGGACACAACAATTTTTTAAAATATAGGACACGGGTGTGGCGTGGACACGACATAATAATTTTTTAATATAATATATAGAAATTAAGGTGACAATATATTAAAAATGACAAGCAATAATAAATCAATTTCATGATAATTTATTTAGCTTATAACACAAAGATGTTTAGTACAAAATGTCTAGTACAACCACAAAAATATAAGCAAAAAACTATTTAGTACAATATGAAGGTTCAACTACTCAATAGACGGAATGATAGAATTAGATTCAGAGGTTGATCTTTGGCCTTCAATATCATCATCATTGAATATCATTGCTTCCAACTCTGGTTCATTTAGAGAAAGATTTGCGACCTCCAATAATCCCATATCATCAAGGCACTCGAACTCATCTCTAGCAACATCCCACATCTTGTTATCACATGTCATATAAAGTGGGGTTTTACTTGATAGAAGACGAAGACTTGTATGCACATAAACTAAATCTTCAGCTCTTTGTGGAGTTATTTTATTCCTCTTCATTGAGTGAATAAATGAGTATGTGCTCTAATTTCTCTCACAACAGGAAGATGATGATACTTGAAGTTCTGCTTGTTTTTAAAGTTCGTAAGTTATTTGTATGAAAAGATACTGAGCATGTACTGAGCAGTACCGAGCATGTACTGAGCGGTACCTAGCGATATCTAGCGGTACCGAGCATGTACCTAGCGATACCTAGCGGTACCGAGCATGTATATTAGCTATTTTTTGGTAAGTTTCAAAAAGCAACAATTAATATTTTAGGCGTTGAGAGTCAGACGTCGATGCCATTTATCAGTCACCGAGAGAGGAGATGAAAATATCTCCACAGCCAAAAAGAAATGAAAATGAGAATATTCGATGATTGAGAATTAAGTGCGGATGTTGATTTGGTGTTGTGGATAGGAAATAAGGAATTTAGTTTAAATCCCACAAAATACAAGAAATTATATTTAAAAAAATTTATAAAATATTTAAGATACACGTGTCGGACACGCGTGTCCAATTTGTATTTAATATTTTTTAATCGGACACGTTTTCGGTGTGTCATGTCGGACACTGCACGCCTCTTTAAGGAGAAGTGTCGGTGCATCATAGCTTACCTGTTGTACAACCATTATTAATGAGTTATGACTCAATGAAATACACCAGCAATGTATAAGAAATAATAATAATATTGTTAAAAATCAAGAAATGCTTAATATTACTAACATGGTTATAACACACATTGAAATGCCATACTGAACATAAGAAGTGCATAACATTACTTTCCATCTTTCCAACTGTTCAACATTTTTAAACAAGTCATATGATGACTATAAGCTTTTGCACCATTTCAGCTTTCCAATTTAAGGTTGGATCCAGATTCCCAATTTTTAAAATTAAAGCTGTTCTTTCATTCAAGGTTGGGTTCAAATTCCCAATTTCTAGAATTAAGAGTATATGCTTACCTCATCAGGTTTTTCTCCTTTACTTGTGCGGGCCTACCCCCATATATGACTTGGCCGAAGCCTTGGATGGGGTCGGACGAAGGCTTCACATGCGAGGAGGGGCGGAACGGAGGCCTGGGCGTGGAAATTGCCCTCTCTCGCTCTTTGCTTTCTCGTTTGCTCGGGACGGACGAGACCAGGGGAGCCGAATGAGGCTCCCCACTACCTTTCGTGCTCTTAGGGGCGCATGCACTAAGCAAGTCCACCGCCCTTAACGCCCAATCCAGCTTTCTCTATGTGATAAATGAGGGAATTTGCACTTGAGTACATTCCCTATATGATCGGACACAAATTTGGGTGGTAACTGAGATAAAATTTGATCACTAAGTATCAATTTTTGATTTTGAGACTCAATCTAGCCTAAATTGACTGATTTGGGCTGAAATTGAGTTCAAATTGAACTCGACTAGGATCGATTTGGGTCCGATCGAGTTAATTTTGTGAAATTGAACTCAGATCGGCGCCGAATCGCGTCGAATTGCATCGAATTGGGCTCGACGACGCTCGAAATGGTTCGGTTCGAATTGATTTGATTTAATTTTAATCAAACTGAATTTAATTTAATTAAATTGAATTGAATTTAATTAAATTGAGGCTTAATTTGGATCAATTTCGCCTCGACAACGATCGATTGGGTTGATCGAGTACAATCAAGTCTAGTCGGGCTCGATCGGGGTTGATTCGATGCAAAAATATTCGTCAACAAACGCTTTTAGAGGGCTTTGATGATCTTGTCTGACACTTTTCACCTGGTGTCCAGAGTGGAAAGGATGATTATATCTGAAGTTCCATTTGGTGTATACCTTTTTTATTTTTTGAAACAAGTAACTCTATGGACATACCGATAATTATAGGTGCTCTAACTGAAATTCATGGAGGTGTTGTGCTGTTCTTTTTTTGTATCCAGTCTCCAGTTTTCCATTCAGTTATTGTAGGATCAATGTAAAATCATGGTTGGGTTTCTCTGTGATGTCTAGTCATCACTTCATCGTTGTGCAGGGATGAGTTTCATTAATAGAGCTTATTATTTAGAGCATAGTATCCTTACAACGGTTTAATGTGAAAATATTATAAAGCAAGTTGCAACATTAATCTTTTGAGCGATTGGATGAAGTTCAACCAGTATTCAGGATATTGTTTTGGACATAAGTAACGAAGACTTAAATGGTGGGTTAATCGGTGGGTTATTTTTATTTGTAAGTGTTGACGAATATTTTCGCACCGACTCGACCCCGATCGAGCCCGTAATCGGTGGGTTATTTTTATTTGCAAGTGAAATAAATTTGGTGAAAGTTAAAATAAGTCATAATCTATAATTAAATGGTTTGATGTCAAATTGCCTTGATAAAAATTTTCGGTTATGACAAGTTGAAGTTCATATTTCCAAGGCTGATGTTTATTTTGTGGGGACAATAAATTTCTATATAGTAGATGATATGTTGCAATACTATTAAGTAAATAGTCTAAAATATCAATGATGAAATGATGCGGAGCACTATAGTACCGAGCCTTTATCTTGCTCATGCAGGATAAGTTATCTTATTGCTTTAGTTCGTTATAGTTATTTCTCCACTTACTCTGATAGTACTACTTTTTATACCTTAGTACATAGTATCGCTTTTTAGTTGTTATTGCAGTTTTAGTAAGAGGCGTGTGGCCTTATAGTTGTTTTGGCTATAAGTTTTGGACACGCTTGATATTCCCAAATATACGAATTAAGCTCTGCAGCTTGCGAAGCTTGCACTGTTCCATTGATTTTCTCTGTTCTGCTTGTGCTTCTACCTTGATCCTACATCAGTATTGGTATCAGAGCTAGATGGCCGAAGGCAACAGGCGGGTGGCTCCCGGCGGCGACAACAGCCTGGAAGCTCTATGGGCGGCGCACCGAGGATTGGGTCGTCGGACAGAAGAGTTGGAAATGGAGGTAAATCGATTTTATGAGGAGATTCGCCAAGAGCTCAGGGAGATCACTATCTGCTTAGATCGGATGATTCCCAATAGAGACGCTCCGGCGGCACGGCGTGGTGACGAGGCTGATCGATTGTGGCAGAGGAACATTCACGGTCCACGGCGTGTGATGGCGGCGGTGGAGTCATCTGATTCGGATGCAGAGACCATGGAAGCGCAACATTCAGACGTCTCTGATTCGGGTGAAGAATTACCAAACCACCGTCGGAGGCATCCCAGGGTGATGACTCGTCCACACGGTGAGTTCCGGGTCAAGCTGGACATACCCTTTTTTGACGGAAAATTACATATAGAAGATTATTTAGATTGGGAGAGGTCAGTTGAGACCTTCGAATATATGGAGATTGAGCCAATCAAGCAAGTGCAATATGTGGCGTGTCGACTCAAGGCCGGGGCCAGTGCGTGGTGGCAGCAGGTTTTACAGTCAAGGCGAAGGGAAGGGCGCGGACCAGTGAAGAGTTGACGGCGAATGAAGCAGATGTTACGCGGGCATTATCTTCCTACCGATTACAAACAAATGTTGTATCAACAGTATCAACATTGCCGCCAAGGTAACCGCTCTGTCAATGATTATACTGAAGAATTTTATCGTTTGAGTGCTAGGAACAACTTGAACGAGACAGCCAACTAGTTGGTCGCACGGTACATCGGAGGATTGAAGGAGGCCATCCAAGATAAATTGGAACTGAATTCTATATGATCACTATCACAAGCTGTTAATTATGCTCTAAAGATTGATATGCAGTTGCTCAGACATAACAAGGGTTATTCTTTCAAAAGGAATTCACCAGTGATGGAACAGTCTAATAGTAATAACAGAGTTACAGAACCTGCATGGATTACAGGTGGAAAATTGCAGGCGACTTCCCCTGGCACCGCGGGGGTTCCGAATGCACTTGGGCGTGGTACAGATGACAGATCAGTGGGTCGTGGTAAGACCATCGTCAAGGATAATCCATACGCAAAAAACATTAGCGTTAAGTGCTTCCGATGTTTCCAAATGGGACACAAGTCCAACGAGTGCCCCTCACGCCCGCAATTGCAGTTGATTGATGGTGAAG